ATAACTTGGCACACAAGTAGACTACACTAAAATACATAATTATTTATATCGATTTTTGATTTCGATAAACGGTGTTGTTGTGGTTACTAAAAATAGAAATTTCTGTAAAATTGTTTCAAAATGCTACTCCTCCTACAGTTTTGGTCTGATTTCAATATAACTTGGCACACAAGTAGACTGCACTAAGATACATAATTCTGTGTATCGGTTTTTGATTTCGTTAAACAGTGTTGCCGTGGTTACTAAAAATAAAAATTTCTGTGAAATTCTTTCAAAATGCTCCTTCTCCTACAGTTTTGGTCTGATTTCAATATAACTTGGCACACAAGTAGACTACACTAAGATACATAATTATTTATATTTTTAATTTCGATGAACGGTGTTGCCGTGGTAACTAAAAATAGAAATTTCTGTGAAATTTCTTTCAAAATGCTACTCCTCCTACAGTTTTGGTCTGATTTCAATATAACTTGGCACACAAGTAGATTACACTAAGATACAAAATTCTGTGTATCGGTTTTTAGGTCACCTGAGTAAACTCAGGTGACCTATTGCTATCTGTTTTCGTCCGTCGTCGTGCGTCGTGCGTTGTGCGTTAACATTTGAACATTTTCAGCTTCTTCTCTGCAACCACTGAACCAATTTCAACCAAATTTGGCCTAAAGCATCTATGGGTGAAGGGGAACAAAAATTGTGAATTTCATGATCCCTGCCCCCCTGGGGCCTGAGGGGTGGGGCCAAAACCACTAAAATTAATGCAATCTTTAAAAATCTTCTTCTTTACACCTGGACATCAAGCAGTCAAACTGTTTGCATGATTGTAATCAGCAATGAGTCCTCTACCAAAATTGTGAAATTCATGGCCCTGGGGTCAGGGGTTCTAGTGCTAGGGCGGGCTAAATAAGTAGGTAGTGAAAATGCATTATTTCTTTGAAAATCTTCTTCTCTGCTCCTGGGTATTAAATAAACCAACTAAGCACATAGTTATGATGAGCAAGAGTGCCACTACCAAAATTATGAATTTTATGGCCCCAGGGTCAGGGGTTCTGGTGTTAGGGCGGGGCTCTATTGATTATATAGTGAAAATACATGAATTCTTTGAAAATCTTCTTCTCTGCTTCTGGGTATTAAATAAACTAACTAAGTGCATAGTTATGATGAGCAAGAGTGCCTCTACCAAAATTGTGAATTTTATGGCCCCAGGGTCAGGGGTTCTGGGTTAGGGCGGGGCTCTATTGATTATATAGTGAAAATACATGAATTCTTTGAAAATCTTCTTCTCTGCTCCTGGGTATTAAATAAACTAACTAAGTGCATAGTTATGATGAGCAAGAGTGCCTCTCCGTAAATTGTGAATTTTATGGCCCCAGGGTCAGGGGTTCTGGTGTTAGGGCAGGGCTCTATTGATTATATAGTGAAAATGCATTTGTTCTTTGAAAATCTTCTTCTCTGCTTCTGGGTATTAAATAAACCAACTAAGTACATAGTTATGATGAGCAAGAGTGCCTCTACCAAAATTGTGAATTTTATGGCCCCAGGGTCAGGGGTTCTAGTGTTAGGGCGGGGCTCTATAGATTATATAGTGAAAATACATGAATTCTCTGAAAATCTTCTTCTCTGCTTCTGGGTATTAAATAAACTAACTAAGTGCATAGTTATGATGAGCAAGAGTGCCTCTACCAAAATTGTGAATTTTATGGCCCCAGGGTCAGGGGTTCTAGTGTTAGGGCGGGGCTCTATTGATTATATAGTGAAAATACATGAATTCTCTGAAAATCTTCTTCTCTGCTTCTGGGTATTAAATAAACTAACTAAGTGCATAGTTATGATGAGCAAGAGTGCCTCTACCAAAATTGTGAATTTTATGGCCCCAGGGTCAGGGGTTCTAGTGTTAGGGTGGGGCTCTATAGATTATATAGTGAAAATACATGAATTCTCTGAAAATCTTCTTCTCTGCTCCTGGGTATTAAATAAACTATCTAAGTGCATAGTTATGATGAGCAAGAGTGCCTCTACCAAAATTGTGAATTTGTTTGGCCCCAGGGTCAGGGGTTCTGGTGTTAGGGCGGGGCTCTATTGATTATATAGTGAAAATACATTAAATCTTTGAAAATCTTCTTTTCTGCTCCTGGGTATTAAATAAACTAACTAAGTGCATAGTTATGATGAGCAAGAGTGCCTCTATCAAAATTTTGAATTTTATGGCCCCAGGGTCAGGGGTACTGGTGTTAGGACGGGGCTCTATTGAAAATACATTAAATCTTTGATAATTTTCTTCTCTGCTCCAGGATATTAAGCAGATGAACTACCTATATAGTTATGCTGGACAAGGGCCCATATCTTCCAGAATTGTGAATTTCAAGGCCCTATAGGGTCAGGGGTATCATAGAAGGGGGGGGGGGGCTGTACTTATATACTGAAAATGAATGAATGGTTTGAAATCTGCTCCTTGGTATTAATCAGATATCAAGGCCTAAGGGTCAGGGGTTCATGTGTGGTACGGGCACTGCTGATTATTGCTGAATATTACTGATTAGTTGAAATGCATTTTTTGTTCCCTTACCCTGCATATGGGTATTAAGTAAACAAACTAAGCAACTGCTAAGTGTATTGTCATGATGATCAATGGTGCCTCTTTCAAAATTATGAAGGCCATAGCATCTGGCTTAAAACATGAATCAAATTCAATCACTGGAAAGTTGTTGCATAATGCTCAGGTGACCTATAAGGCCCATGGGCCTCTTGTTAATTTCCATGAACGGTGTTGTCATGGTTACTAAAAATAGAAATTTCATTAAAATGGTTTCAAAATGCTACTCCTCCTACAGTTTTGGTTTGATTTCAATATAACTTGGCACACAAGTAGACTGCACCAAGATACATAATTAGATTTATCGGATTTTGATTTCCTTGAACGTTGTTGTCGTGGTTACTAAAAATAGAAATTTCTGTAAAATGGTTTCAAAATGCTACTCCTCCTACAGTTTTGGTCTGATTTCAATATAACTTGGCACACAAGTAGACTACACTAAGAACATAAAGAGACTTTATCAAGGATCATTGTTCTATTTATTGCTGTTGTAAAGTTTCAATTCCCAATTGCTTTAGTACTTTTCTCTTCCTTTGCTATAAGTACAAACCAGTAGAGCTTCAGTCTCGACAGAGACTTCTTTTTTAAATTTGCGGGTATTTGTTTTCAAATTGATTTGAAGGCATATTTTGGACACTTTAAGGCCTATGATCATCAAACTTAGTCAGTTGATGCATCTTGGGCCCTTGAACAACGTAAACTTAAAAGTAGGTCACCATGACCTACTTTTTGAACTTTATGACCTATCCTTTTTAAAACATTTAATCTCATTATTTCAGGCACTGAAAGGGATAGAATCATCAAATTTTGTAAGTTGCTGCATTTTGGGACGTAAAAACATATTTAAGCAAAAGTAGGTCACTGTGACCTACTTTTAGAATTTAAGAGGCATTTGTGTTTTCAAATTGTTTAAAAGGCATATTTTGATTACCTTCAAACCTACGATCATCAAACTTGGTCAGGCAATGCATCTTAGGACTCTGAAAAATGTCGACCAAAATGTAGGTCACAGTGACCTACTTTTGACATTTTATGGCTATAATTAAGTATCTTAGGTATTTATTGGCTTAGAATCATCAAACTTTGTGAGTTGATGCATCTTGGGTTTTCGGAGAGTGATGACCAAAAATTAGGTCACAGTGACCTACTTTCGACATTTTACGGCTATATTTAAGTATCTCTGGTACTTATTGGCTTAGAATCATCAAACTTTGTCAGTTGATGCATCATGGGTTTTTGGAGAGTGATGACCAAAAAGGAGGTCACAGTGACCTATTTTTGACATTTTATAGGTATATTTAAGTATCTCTGGTACTTATTGGCTTAGAATCATCAAACTTTGTCAGTTGATGCATCTTGGGTTTTGGAGAGTGATGACCAAAAATTAGGTCAAAGTGACCTACTTTTGACATTTTATGGCTATATTTATGTATCTCTAGTACTTATTGGTTTAGAATCATCATACTTTGTCAGTTGATGCATCTTGGGTTTTCGGAGAATTTCGTCCAAAAAGTAGGTCCTGGTGACCTACTTTTGAATATCCCAGGTATTTATTGGCTTAGAATTATCAAACTTGGTCAGCAGATGCATCTTGGGACTCTAAAAATGTCAACCAAAATGTAGGTCACGATGACCTACATTTTATGGCTATATTTAAGTACCTGGTTTTTCCGCTACTTAATGGCTTAGAATCATCAAACTTTGTCAGTTGATGCATCTTGGGTTTTTCAGAGAATGTTGACCAAAAAGTAGGTCACGGTGACATTTTATGGCTATATTTAAGTATCTTAGGTATTTATCGGCTTAGAATTATAAAACTCTGTCAGTTGATGCATTTTGTGTTTTCCAAGAATGAAGACTAAAAATTAGTCCTAATTGGCTAAGAATCATCAAACTTTGTCAGGTGATGCAACCTGGGTTCGAATACTTAGGGTTAGAGGCTTCAAATACAAGTGATAGGTTGTATAATTTATCAGAAGAGCGATTCAAGGCCCTTGGGCCTCTTGTTTATTTATTTATCTATTGTTTATTTATATTTATGCACATAAAATTAGAATTATCTCAATGCAAGGAAAAGATCGGAGGCATTCCGAATAAATCGATCATCTTGCGTTCACCATTTCGTTCACCGTTCACTTTGCGCTCGCGTTCGCGCCCCATTCGCGTTCTGCGTTCACTCACCATTCACCGTTCACACATCGTTGACCAAGTTGCGTTCAGCGTTCGCACATCGTTCATCCACCGTTCGTTCACCGTTCGTTCATCGTTCGTTCAGCATTCGTTCACCGTTCAGTTGGGAAAGTAGAACTTTTCAGGGACTGTTGTAATATAGTATTATAATTCCAAAAAAAATATAGATATTATGTACCAAAATAGGAAATTCAACACAGGTTTAACTTGTACATTGTAGGTATAAAAAAATTCCAAAGATCCCTAGTAACTCAGCAGGAAGTTACCAGACAAAGTATGCTACCAGGTTATCATCAGCAATATCAGCAGCATATCCATCCTCAGTATCATCATCATCAACATTTCCATCCTCAGCATCATCAACATTTCCATCCTCATCATCATCAACATTTTCATCCTCATCATCAGCTACATTTCCATCCTCCTCCTCCTCCTCATCACCATCAACAGCATTTCCATCTTCATCCTCTTCATCATCATCACTAACATTTCCATCCTCATCATCAACAGCATATTCATCCTCATCATCAAGATTTCAATCCTCATCATCATCATCATCAACATTTCCATCCTCTTACTCATCATCAATAGAAGCATTTGCGTTTTCATCTTCATCATCAACATTTCCATCCTCCTCCTCATCATCATTTCCATCATCAGAAGCAGCAGCATCATTTCTGTCAGGATCATCATCAGTATTTTCAGCATGAGCATGATCTTGAACTGAAAACAAACCCTTCAAATGGAAATTTGGAAAGGAAGAAGAGTCAAACGAAAATCTTGAAGAAGGCACTTGAGAAAGACCAGTCAAATCATGTAAGGGAGACTATTATCAGGTCTTCTTTCATTTCAGCAAAGCCGTAACTCATATTAAAAATGTAAACACAATGTACATGTAGCTATATGTTTTATATTGATTAGTAATGCCAAATGTTCTTTTATTTGATAAATGATCAAATGGCACAAATTTCTCAATTCATTTCTTGAACAGTGTGTTAGTGAATCTTTCCTATAATTGTGAAGATAAATACTGGATTGAAAGTGATTTCCCTCGATTTTTCGGGGGAAGATTAAAAGATCCATTAGTAAGTTGCTAATCCTTACTTTTCACATGTTGAGATCTGATACCTCGCCTGATGTCATATTAGAACATGTTGTATATATAATGTAGATCAGTGTAGAAGATTAATTTGATTTTTTTATTATTGGAAAAAAGTCATAATAAAAAGAGTATGATGCTATTCTTCTTGAAGATGTATAAAGAGTTGTATAATTTAAAGAAGATTTTAAAGATCATTATGCAATTGAAATTAGATCTGATAGAAAGACAATATTTTATTCCTACAAATAAAGATTTGAATTACCTACGTAACCCGACAAGATTCTAATATAATAAGGATATGGAGATAATGAACAGTATTCAATCTCAAAGTCCATTAAATAATACAAAATAGGAACAGAGCAAAGAAAGCTCTCTGAAACATCAGAGGTGGGATCAGGTGCCATGGAGGAGTGAGCATCCCCTGCTGACCGGTCACACCCGCCATGTGCTCCTTGCCATGATCAGGAAATAACGGGAAAATCAGTCGTCAATTCAGTGTATAAATAATGGACTAACAATTGGTATGAAAAACATCAGTCAGCATTTGACTCGATGATAAATTGTATTTGCTGACAAGGTCATTGTATCAACCATAAGACTTATGAATTTATGACTTTAAACGAGACTGTTGTTATTCTTGTTTCATCAACTTGCTTGTCAATAATTAACTTCATTTTAGAAATTGTTCATACATAGAGCATGCTCTTGCGTATCGAATCAACTGCAATATATATACCGGTACTCCGTATGCAGGTGATGAAGGTATATTGCTGCATAAGTAAGGGAAGTCATCATGTCTATCATATAGCTTTGTTAGCTCACCTGATCCGAAGGCTCAAGTGAGCTTTTCTGATCACATTTTGTCCGTTGTATGTCCGTCCGTCTGTAAACTTTTCACATTTTCGACTTCTCAAGAACCACTGAGCCAATTTTGACCAAACTTGGTACAAAACATCCTTGGATGAAGGGGAATTTAAATTGTTAAAATGAAGGGCCCAGTCCCCTCACAAGGGGAGATAATCAAGAAAAGACAAAAATAGGATGGGGTCATTAAAAAATCTCAAGAACCACTGGGCCAGAAAACCTAAAACTTATGTGGAAGCATCCTGAGGTAATGTAGATCGTTAAAAATTTTTAAAATCTTCTTCTCAAGAACTACTGGGACAGAAAAGCTGAAACTTCCTGAGGTAGTGTAGATTCTAAATTGTTTAAATCATGACCCACTGGGGTTGGGCAGGGCCACAATGAGGAATCAAAGTTTTACATAGAAATATATAGGAACAATCTTTAGAAAAACCGAAACTTATGTGGAAGCATCCTGGGACAGTGTAGATTCTAAGTTATTCAAATCATGATCCCCGCCGATTGGGTGGGGCTACAATGGGGAATCAAAGTTTTACATAGAATTATATAGGAATTTTTTTTTAAAAAATCTTCTTCTCAGGAACGACTGGGCTAGAAAAGCCGAAATGTATGTGGAAGCTTCCTGAGGTAATGTAGATTCTAAATTGTTCAAATCATGACCCTAGGGGGTTGGGCGGGGCAACAGTTTTACATAGAAATATATAAGAAAAATCTTTAAAGATCTTCTTTTCACGAACTACTTGGCCAGAAAAGCTGAAACATATATGGAAGCATCCTGAGGTAGTGTAGATTCCAAGTTGTCAAAATTATGATCAGTGGGGTAAGGTGGGGTCACAATATGCATTACAAGGGGGAAATCGAATAAAGAACAGAATGGTCAAAGCTTCTCAGGTGAGCGATGTGGCCCATGGGCCTCTTGTTTTAAGATTACCATTAACGTCTTTTTCAAGTAAAATATCCCAAGTATGAAACAAAGAGGGTTCTTAAACACATTCATATCTTTCTTTCCGCATTTCTATGATGTCTTTTTTTTAAACTTCTCAGGTTAATCTTTTGATAGCTTAAAAGTAGGTAGTTAAACATTTATAAAAAGGTAGAGGTTTTGTCATTTAGAAAAAAATGTGAATTGAATTGAACATATTTCATTGACAACGAGTTAAAAAGACTGAAACAAGTTCATTATGGGTTTTCTTATCTAAGTGAATCCGTTCGATGTTTGTTGACCAATCCATTGTCATAAGTTGTCTTTCTCAGAACTTAAGTAAAGAAACACGCACGCTAACTCTCGATTCCCGCCTACACTTTGGAACCGTTTAATTCAATATGAGTAGCATAAAGTCTTTGTTTAATACAAAGAACAGTTCAATGGTAATTGATAAATCGTCTTAATACCAGCGCTAAACAGTAAATTATCCATAATTCCAGCTCTGGAAAAAAGGGGGGTAGACGATATTTTTCATTGAAATCGGAGTTTCAATCATCATCGTATTTTGAAATACACTTGGATTTGATTAAATGTTCCTTATATCTTTTTTATGTTTTAGGCAAATAATTAAAACATAAATTTTTCAATAAAATATGATGTTTCAGTTGTATATTGCTTTAAAATTGGTGGAAAAATAGTATTTTTATTGTTTTTTGTTAATAAACATATGTTCCCCCCGTGTCACACAAAAAGCTTTTTTATGAATTTGTGAAATACCATTCCATGTTACCTGTAAAAAGGAATTTTTGTGACATGGGGGGGGGGGGGGGGGAAGATGTTTTAAAAATATTTTCCGTTTTCCATTGATTTCTACAGTGAAAAACACAAGTTTTACCAAAATTTTAGAGTTAGCTCTCTTTGTTTTCCCAAATAAGTAATGTTTTATGAAAATTCATAAAATTATCTATAAAAAATATTGAAAATTCATCAAATATGCTAACTTTTGAAAATTGACTCGGAGGTAGGCGGGAGAACAATACTATCGTTCGCAGTTCTTTCAACCAAAGAAGAGTGAACGAAATCACTTTTGTTCATATGGACACCATGATCTTTCCAAAAGAAGATTATCAACATGCGTCAAAAATATCATTATTGCATATTATCGTCTTATTTAGCAGTGCTAAGGATATATGTTTGAGAGGAAAAATGAAACATATATGTAAACATTATTACATAGTTCAAGATTTTGTTTGTTTAAGATAGAATGCCACACAATTTTTTTTATATTATACATCTTTGAGTCATCCTTTTTTAAACGATGGTGTCAGCATTGAAACGTCGACGTTAGCTCCTAATTATTTTTTTTTTTTGTTATTTTTTCAAAGAAATTGAAAAAAAAATAACATCTTAATTATATGCTTTCTTGTAAAACAAATTCACTGTTAATGAATGCATCACATAAACACGTTAGAGAGAATACTCGACATCGGGTATTATCCGTGAAATCGCGTATAATACCCTATGTTATGGTATCGTTGAGTCCGCGAAATCAGGTATAGGAGGTGTAATTACCTAATAAAACTTAAACAATTGGATGGCGCATGTTGCCGAGTCAACTTTCATGCATCTAGATTCAAATGTTTTCTAAAGGTATCACTAGCCAAGAAAGAATTTGGGCGTCAGGATTAATGCGCCCAGGACAACAAATACCCGTGGAGCTCAGTACATTTCATGACCTGCACACAAAAAAGGCGTTCGTTTTGCTTTATGTTTTTCATAATGTTGAAAGTATCTTCTTCATGTTCATTCCCAACAGAGAACTGTAAAGTGTCAGAATTAGGGAATTTATAATGATTCCACACCAACACGACAAACACGAAAAATTTTTAAATAAGGTAAATCAAATTAAACGGAAACACATTTCACACAAAAGATATAATGCCATGAGGACTGTCTATCGTATCTAATTATGCGTCATTAATTACTTTCACATTCATCTTGTGCATAAAATCAAATTCAATTAAGAATGTATACATAATGTAATGAAAAAAAATGTCTAAGAAAAAATACCTCTCCCCCCCCCCCCCCCCGCCCCCTCTCTCTCTCTCTCTCGATTGATTTTTTTTGTTATCATTCATACATATTTACAGAATATGTCTCCAATAGTCAAATGTGAATCTACTAAAATCAACCTGGCTTGGTATATGTCCCTAACTTTTATATTAGAGTTTTAGCGCAAAGGTAATATTCTGAAATTTTGTTTTCATCTGTAAACCTTTACTGAGTGTGTTTTGTCCATATTTGTAATCATATTGAAATATTACTAATATTTTCAAAGTCAATTTCAGTTTCCAGTTCTAAGGAGAAAAAATTATAAGAATTATCCACTTTTCTAGATCTAAACATGTGATTTAAAATTAAGTCTCCTCCAGTCAAAAAATTTGTTTGTATCATCTGTCCTTAATATACCCTATTTGTTCAGGATTTCATTGATAGTTCACATACTGAGTTTATTATTTTGTCAACTTTATGGCATACATATTCCAGCTCAGCTCTCTTGTAATGGAAACGATCACGTTCCTCCTGAAGTTTCATTATTGTTTCCTTTAGATTAGTAATTTGCTTTTCAGTAGTTTCAGCGAAAAGTTTCTCTGCTAGCTTTCTGTAGTGTGTTCCAAGTGTACATTCTAACTCTGACTGTATATTTGCTATGTTGTACTGCTGCATGAAATCATTGTATGCCATATCAATGGCTTTCAGCTTCGTTTCTTTGTTGTTCCATTTCTTAATTTTTATTGCAACCATCGGTGACAGAATTAACCCTGCTATGGCACACAAAGTACCAGCAGCCGCAATAAATGGAATCCAAAGTGGGACTGAAGCTATAACCCCAACTAAAAGAGGAGTGTCTGTTTCAAACCATTCGCGTCTTTTTTTTAATTTTTACTCTCTCTGATCCTTTCCATTGACTTTCAACTTCCCATATTCTTTCTTGGATTTCTTGAAAATAGCACTCGAGTGTCTTAGTAACAAAAGTCATTTTCTCAACGACGGACTTCCCAATCTTCTATTGGATCCAGGTTAGAATAGGTCCTCAATCTTCCATTCTGAAATGTATGTTGATATTTTCCTCCTGACTTCAGCTTCCACACCCAAGACCAGGCCCCAAGACCATAAACTGAGAACTGACTTAAGTCAAATTTTAAAACCAGTATATTTTTTAAATAATTTTGAAAATGATACAAAATTTACAACAAATATTTGAATCTATGTCTTTTAAAGAATTGCAAATTTTTAAGCAAATACGTCAAGCAGAACTCAAGAAATAAAAAATCAAAATTTTGACTTAAGTCTGTTCTCAGTTTATGGT